TTCGGTGTTTACCATGAAGAGGTGAGTTTCGGGGTTCAGGGTGTTGGTTTAATATAGGGGCCTTCATCTTTAGAATAGGGTTTGGGGTAATTTATGCTAAAAAATATAATAAGGAAGCCCCAAAACCCTATTCTAATTATCAAGGCCCCTACATCAGGGGTTGGATGCCCCCTTTCAAGATGAGGGTTAGGGGCTTTGGGGTGTCTCCTGAACCGTTTGAGGATGAGTCCCAATGAGGGCGGTTTATATTAACATAGGGGCCTCAATAATTGCCAGTACTATTTTGGGGGGTTCCTTTGTTACAAGAATTATTATAGTATATTGGGCTCCAAAACCCTAGTCTAATTCTTAAGGCGCCTATGTTAGGGAGTGGAGGACCCCTTTCAGAATGACCCGGCCTTTGACCCGACCGGCTTGAAGATGCCCTCGGACAAATGGATTTGCACTCCAATCTCTGCGGTGGAACATATCCTGGAGACAGCCGCGGACTTCGGCATCGAGGTGGGTAGTTCTCTAAAATTCGGATCCCTTTTAGGGGTCCAGTCTATAAGGGTGCCGTGCTATTTTGGGGACGTAAAAAGGGACCCTACTTTTCCACCTAGACCCTAAACCCTAAACCCCTAAACCCTAAACCCCTAAACCCTAAACCCAAACCCCTAAACCCCTAAACCCCTAAACCCCTAAACCCTGAACCCTACTTTAGAGAACTGCCCAGGTCCTGCTTGACGTTCATGCTTTTCCCGGCGGGTCCAGTGCTGGCACTTTCAACGGCGTCTGGCCCCTGAACCCCAGGTGGGAGTTTCCGAAAATTAGGGATACCTTATTTTGGGGGTCCTTATAATAAGGATCCTACTATTTAGGGTACTATATTATTTTGGGGGTCCTTATAATAAGGATCCTATTATTTAGGGTACTTTGGGGGTCCTTATAATAAGGATCCTATTATTTAGGGTACTAGATTAGGGTCCCCTATTTTCGGAAACCCCCAGGTTCTGGAGCGCTTACGCCAAAGACAACTTCAAGACGATTGCAACCCGGCTGATTTCTAAAAGCTGCTCTGGTTCCTTAAAGCATATAGGCTTCATCAAACGGCGACAAGACCCATAGCATCCCAGAACTACCCACAGTTGCTCACCAGATGACCAGGTGGGTCGTCTGTTGGACTGGATGGACTCTCTTAGCCTGGCGAATCGGAAGGCTTTTGCTGGGCTCTACGGTCTTTCTCCAATGAACGAGCCCGCCCATCTGCGAGGTGCAGACCCGACTCCTTAAAACATCGTTAGACAGTTGCGCGTGGCTGGTTGTCTGAACTAGGATTCCTTCCGTGGGCCGCCATTAAAATTGTACTGAAGGCTGACGACCGTCATGATACGGAGCTAAGCTGGGTGTCGTGTACGATTGCCGTTTTTCCTGGCTTGCGTCGTCATTTCTGAACCTAGCGTGGCCAAAAGGTCCGATACTTGCACACTCTGGTTTGCCATCACATCCTGGCCTGACTCCTTTTTGACTTGTGGCTAGTGTGGGGACTTGCGGATATGGGATGCCTTCCAATTTCTGTTTGTGCGTGTTTGTGTTTGCTTGGCGGTTACATTATGAGTAGTACACGTACAAACGGGCCTAGAAGGGGACATTATGTTTGTTCTGATTAAACTACCAAAACCTACTTTTTGTAGGGTCCGAAGTACTTTCGGAGGATTTATGATAGGGAAACCTTAAACCCTAAGCCCTAAACCCTAAACCTTAAGCCCTAAACCCTAAACCCTAAACCTTATACCCTAAACTGTTAAGGCAGCTAGTCTGCGGCCAGGGTGCTTGGCGAGTGTCGGTCCGAGCTTGCCGCCTGCAGGCCTCTACGATCCCAAGGGCGCCGCCTGCCCTGTTCCCTACCAGGCGGGCAGGTTTTAGGGTTTAGGGTTTATAA